TAGTTCGGGTGATATTCCTTGATAACTGAATTTGGAGATTGGTCGTGATACCGGCCACGAGTCCGGCCGTAAATTTGCCCGAGACCTCCTAGGTTTCTAGTGCTGGAACGGTTAAAACAGATGAAAAACACATTGGTTCACTAAAAGGGTTCTATTTATGAAATACACATTTGTGTTTAACCTTTATCTGTTAGAATTGCAGCGTACTAAATTTCAAGAAAAAGGCGCATGATTTTATATGTGTCTGTGGGGGGCGCTAGAAATTCAGTAGGGAGCCAAAGGGGGCGCCAGCCTGAAAAAGTTTGGGAATTACTGGTATAGATGATTATGTTATAGCGTTCAAGATTTTGACCATGGAAGTAAAACAATATAGCGCAGCTGAGAACGACAAAATGCACAACATACATAAAGGTAATCAAACAATACACGAGAAATAAATATCTTGTCTACTAGAAGAAAGTTAACTGGGATAGTAAATAAGTCCGTCCTTACTGGTAGACATGAATGCCAGCAGCTAGTGTTGGAAATCTCAGAGTTCAGGCGCTAATGAAACAAAAGTTTAGGTAAAAATGAGTTTGTTGATAAGGTTGCCACTCAGACGAGCTTCCCTCGCCCAAGTTGAAGAACTCGTCAAGGCTGGCGCTCCAGATCAAAGACGGCGCTAACAAGAGGGACAATCATTGCTCATTGCAAGTTCAACACCATTCAGTCATTGCGACTTCAAACACGGCGCATTCTCGGCGAGATTGCTTTGGGATGGATGATTGCTTTGGAATGTTGTAAATACCACTTTCATGTGGTATTTACAACGAATAGTAATAACTAGTATGCGTTGCTAGGTGCTAACTAAAGAGACGACATGGACGAGAACTATAACCTTCCGCGAACACTTAATAGGACACAAAAAATAGCAAAAAACAACAAATGATGTAAACAGAATGAAATAATAAATTCCTCAATGAATGAGTATTTTTCAATTAAATCTTCCCGCGAAAACGACAAAGAACGACCGATTCAAACGATCGAAAAAGTTTCAGTCAAGCTTCGATATCAATACTCGCGTAGAAAACGAAAAACTTGTGCATATCGCAGAAAACGAAACGATTCGAGAGGGAACTACGAAATTGCCATCAGAACACGCGCCCTGATGAAATGTTCCTACTCAATGGCGACAATCAGTTCGAATCAAGAATGGGACTAGTAGGAGAAAAGAGAATTGATGACATATAATCACATTTAAATTATCCGAATACTTAAAAGTCGCTCCGAAAAACATATGTTCAGATTTGAAATGCCTAGCTCCTTATCGAACCCGGTGGAAGTCTAGTAGCTATTTCAAACTATCGTCAGTCATGAAAAGATCCGATCAAATGATACGAGTTTAGATCTATGAACAAGGCACGAAAAGGAAAAGAATCGGTGACAGGCCACATCAGGCCTACACTTCAGCGCCGACATCACTATGTTATGTTATGTTAAGTAAATTAATTGCAGGCTTTCATAGCACGTTAATCCGTTCTCGTAAACAAGTCCAAGCTATAGGAACATCCCGACCATTTCGATGTAAGAAACCAATATGTTACATCAATAAAATATGACTAATTTATAACTATTAAATAATTATATAATTGACTGCAGCAGTGTTTTGAATGTGAAAAACTATTGAAAGAAAATATTATTAAATTTAACCCTCACTGATGAAATTTAACTCAAGCATATTCTCGCAAATTTATCAACTTGCATATCATCGGTTCATGATGAATTAAGAGCGAAAAAATACGAGGTTGCGACAGTCGGAAAAATCGTCCTTTCAGTGCCATGAACCGAATCTTAAAATATGTTTAAATAGGCATTTTTGTGGACAGAAAATCACGCGACCTCAAGACACGCGAAATCGAAGTCATCAATGCACACAGAACTCGTCAACTTGAATAATTAATTTTGGACCGAATTTTCATCGCATGTTGGAGCCGCATTCACTTACAATTATTCGCTTTTTTGCGTGTCGTATCAAAATTAAGTTAGCGAACATCATACATGAAATGAAATCCGTTTCACATCATAGCGCTAATACTAAGTGTAAAGCAGTATGTTGTAAATTTTTTACTTGCATTACACTATGGACTTAGATTAACAGCTTTGGCAGGTTCGCATGTTCAGTAGACATCAGTATGAGCCAAGATGATCAGGCAGGCGTATGGGTAATGTTATCGGACCCATTTATGTTATCTGATAAAGGATCGCATTCCCGTGCAGACCTTTAGCTCTAACTCTTCTCTTCGTATTCCAATATTTGTAATTGCTTTCCATAAGAAATACGAAACAGTATCAAACTAGAATATCGAGTTGATTTGCGTTTGAAATAACATCCAAAATGAAGTGTTACTCTAAATCCAATTGGGAATGTTCTTGAAACTAGCATCCAGTCTATTAGCGTGCGTGTCAGAGGGACCAGTCCGAACTTCAGTGGAGACAAGACCGGTAGCTTTAATTCTTCTGTCGGTTTATTATAACAAAAGAGTCGCACAGGGCCGACCGTGTTTATCTTTCAAAACATTGACAATATACTCACCCGGTAGCATTGCACAACATACTGTACCAAATTTCTATAATTAGACGGTCTCATCATAGTGAAGGAAATAGAGTGAAATAGGTTTACGAGCATTTTAGTCTATACTCACCGACGTCGTTCATGGCCAGAGGCGGATTGGGAGATTTTGCTTACCTGAAAAAGAAATCAAGATGTTGTGGTTCAGGATCATGCTAAGTGTCTATCATGAGGCTATGATAGATCAATCAGTAAGCAAAGGCATCTAAAGTTAGCATAAATCGAAAAATTATCCAATACTAAAATATATTCAACAGATAAAAAAGTCCGTCTTTACGCTGAGACAGACTTTAGACAAAGACTTTAAACTAACAGCGCGGCCAAAAGTTGGCCCGCTACGTAAAAATCACATGACTAATTTTACATGGTAAATTTTCATGGTAAAATATGATTTCTGTACTTTTTGATATGCATGATGTTTATTGGACATTGTGAAATGGAAAATACTAGGGTACTCTAAGGTCGATAAAATTTACGAATATAAAAAATTAAACCGATAAACAATTAGCTCTATCACTAACAACTCGCAGCATTAGAAAACAAGCTTAATTGGCATTGAAACTAGGAATTCAAATCGATTAGCACGGAATATTTTATAAGTACTTATATCATTAGTCTGCTTATATCGCAAGTTCACAAGGAATTTAAAAGCAAAGAAAACGCCAAGAAAATTCACCATATCGATATTGAAAACGTTTTCATTACATGACATTTTACATAACTTAAATGTTATGTAAGAGTAAATGTTTTTCTTTTTTGTCCGTTAAGAAAACGTGGTTTTTAAAAGTTTTTTTTTATTTGATTTATTATTACATGCATTATATTTCGAAGAGCCGAAACACTATTATCGAAAAATTATGCATACATAGCTCGAGAAACTGAAGCATAAGAGAAATAATTAAAAATTTTCGATTTACGAATGCAGCGTGAACTCACTTCGCGAAAGCCGAACACTTCTCAGTTATGCTGGCTAATTTCACTAGCAAAACTGACCAAATTCTACCCATGTTGCCACGAGATCGACGACCCAAGACAAAGGAAGAAGCCTACATGAATATTGAGGACTCGCAAGCATGGATACCAAAGTGTACGGCGTTAGAAATCTTATAAAAACTGAAGCGTGCGAGCTTTCAAATATTATCTGGAAACTACGCGGTCTTGCATCTTAAACAACGCAATCAGTTTTGCCCATGATACAAAGAGATATGCTGATGTGAGTTTACAAACACGAAAATTCATGTGGACATGAACAAAAATTCTAAGCACACCGAGGCGTATAACTAACATGAGTAGAAATAAATAATATGCGTTTAAAAATTACTTATTAAAGACAACACTTCTAAAGAGGCTAGTGTCTCCGATGTTACGCATGCACATAAATTTCTTATTTTATTTTTGAATATTAAAAAATTAATTTTTTCAATTTTTCAATACATAAAAAATTTTTGAATTATTTGAATTTGAAGTGTGTTAAATATCGATTGTAAGATTTGTAGCAGACAAAGTGACAAACAAACAAAAAGTGAAGTTAAAGAGAAAAGTTGTAAAAAAAATAGGCTAGGATTCAGAGGACGTCGACAATACAAAACGAATTATCTTTGGCCAACTGACACGCTGTCAAGGCTGAGTGTCTCTTTTTAGGATTGGTCGTCCAGAAGTATTCATGCCAGAGCATTTAGATAAGGCGAAGAGGTTAACGCTATCAACACATGCATCTCAATAAACAGGGATGGAGCTATATAATAATTACCATATTATTATTATAGGTAAAGGTGAGCATGTTTAGGAAATTCTTTGTGGTCTATCGTGATGACTGGCGACGGAGTATGGAGTTCCCTTCCATTCACATACATGGTGAATTTTAGTGATGCAGGGCGTAGAGGACACGTGATGCACCTGTGATGATTTGATGCAGGGCGCTGCACTCACCTATAGTGTGATGCAGGGCGCTGCACTCCCCTATAGTGTGATGCAGGGCGCTGCACTCCCCTATAGTGTGATGCAGGGCGCTGCACTCCCCTATAGTGTGATGCAGGGCGCTGCACTCCCCTATAGTGTGATGCAGGGCGCTGCACTCCCCTATAGTGTGATGCAGGGCGCTGCACTCCCCTATAGTGTGATGCAGGGCGCTGCACTCCCCTATAGTGTGATGCAGGGCGCTGCACTCCCCTATAGTGTGATGCAGGGCGCTGCACTCCCCTATAGNCTGTACTATGATGCAGGGCGCTGGAAGACAAGTGATGCAGGGCGCTGGAAGACAAGTGATGCAGGGCACTACACTCACCTGTAGTGTGATGCAGGGCGCTGGAAGACAAGTGATGCATGTCACTACACTCACCTGCAGTATGATGCAGGGCGCTGGAAGACAAGTGATGCAGGGCACTACACTCACCTGCACTATGATGCAGGGCGCTGGAAGACAAGTGATGCAGGCTCGGAGATGTGAAGGTATCACGGCGTCGCCTGAGTTCCTCAAAGCTCGTCTGTCTGCTGTGGAGGCCCACACGTCGTCGGTGCAACAGCGAGCCTTCGTCTACACTGCGCCGCCCCACGGGCGACAGCGGCCCTCCGCTCCCGTACTCAAGCTGTGTGTAACACAAGAATTGCGTTACATTTGAATACTTAAGCCGTTAGTAATTATTACTTATTTGTACAGGTCAGTTATCATTATTATACAGGTCAGTTATTATCCGCTCCCGTACTCAAGCTGTGTGTAACATAAGAATTGCGTTACATTTGATTACTTAAGCTGTTAGTAATTATTACTAATTTACACAGGTCAGTTATCATCCGCTCCCGTACTCAAGCTGTGTGTAACATAAGAATTACGTCACATTTGATTACTTAAGCTAGTAGTAATTATTACTTATTTATAGAGGTCAGTTATCATTTTGTAGTAACGATTATTCCATTTTAATTCTAGAGTTCATCAATTATTTAAGCTGTTAGTAATTATTAATAATTTGTACAGATCAGTTATTATCATTTTGTAATATCAATTATTCAATTTTACTTCTCGAGTTTGCCATAGCCGCACATTAGGTTTTCATTATTTTCGAGGTTTATTTTCATGTTTTAGAGGCTATCTGGTCATCTGCTGCGAATTGCGCGGTACAACGAATTTGTACATAAGTTGTCTAACAAATATATCTGAGAAAACTCAGGGCTTTTTTTAGATGAAACTAAACCCTCAAGACACCGAGACGTATAGTCCCCGAATAAAGCTATGCACAACACAATGAATACTATGAATACTCAGATCTTCCAGCACGAGGAAAAACGTAATGAAAGTTTAGTGAAAACGTTATCAAGAAATGTGATTGGATTTGGAGATTGTCACACACAAACCTGGAAACCAAGACATAAGTTTGAGCTGGTCGTATCTTTCAATTATATCAAAAAAATTAAATATTAGGATTCAAATTATTATAAGCAACTAATAAAACAATGGATAATTCTGTGAAAGTTTCTCGTGAAGTACATTGGTTACTGAGTTTCTGCATAGGGAAACTAAGTCTCTGTTGAATTACTTCACAATTTAGCTAAGTCGAAATAACATTTTTCTGAGCAATTTTTAAAGATTTAACGCAATAAATTTTTTCTAATGCAGAAACGAAACATTTCGTATCAGATAAATTATAATCCACAGACTAATCATTTATTCTCTTCAGGAATGGCGGTGAGTTTATGGATAAAATAGTTTCAACGCGTATTAACTGTGATCTCTTGCAGTTCCTCAGTTCATGAAGCACTAAAACTTAGTTGGGTCGGAAGAGGTCAAGTGGTAATTCAATCGTCGCCACACCCTGGCCTCGTCTCATTCAACCTAAACACACGCAAGGTTCAGATTCCAAAAAGACGAAACTAAAACTAACTAAAAAAATTTCTTGTGGTTATGTAATCAATGATTGAATATATTGAATTTTCGAAATTATCAGTCGCGACAGACATAAGCCGTTTATCTGTTATCTTGGACATTAAGCTTTAAATGTGGCAAGCCAAATTCTATGATCGGTTAAATCGGTAAACCTTCGGTTCTATGATCGGTAAACCTACGGTATCGGTTAAAATAACCTAACCTGATTCCGCTACCTAATTCCTACCAAGCTGAGCTAATGGTAATAATGTCAGCTGTATAAAGTAAGCGACTTTCCGATGGTAGTATTAAACGACTGATAAACCTGCGGTCAATAAAGGCATTTGACGCAATATAAGAGCGAACAACGTGAATGCCCGCGACTTCAACAACATGGAAATTTAAACTTAATTTAATCTAAGATCCTGACGCGAGGATCTGAGGATCACTTCGCATCAAGGGAAGAAATAGGATAGGGCTCGAATGAAGGGGAATTTAACGATTTTAAGAAACCCATTGATAAAATATCTCCAAATATGGTCCTGAATATCAAATGACTATAACAGAAATTATTTATATTAATTTAATAACTTATAAAGTAAATTGTAAGGTCTCTTTAAATTCTGGAATTCCATTGGTCTGTAAAGAAATTTGTGTGATGAAATAACGTATCGAATTAGTGATGCTACCGGACTTATAAGGTTCTGTACGTGAAAAAGCTCCATGAGAGTGCCTCTAATAACTAAGAATATTAAAAAAAATACTCAGGGTAACCTGAATGTCAATAACTTGGGGATTAACAAGCATAATATGATTTTATTAACTTCCACACCTAACTTCTTCGAAGATGATACCAGCGAATACTGAATTAGAATGCTCCATAAATAACGTGGTATGTTGTAGCATTGAAATATGAGCATCAAAGCATCACAATCTTACTCTAAGTTAATTGCTACAGATTATCTTCTAACTCAAACTAGTTGACTAGTTGTCATTTAGGTTGATTCACCCTAAATGGCACCACTGTTAGAAAAATTACCGTTAACGGTATTACCGGCGTTTCAGTGGCCGGTCGGCACGTAAAAATAACACCGTGTCGCCGTTTTTATTCCAATTTAACACTATAAATCCGTAAAACATCTGATAAAAACAGCAAGACAGTTTATTTTCACGGGGCGACCGGCCACTAGAACGCCGGTGGGACCGTTTTTTTACCGTTTTTTCTAACAGTGTACGTTGGTGTGTTCCAAAAAAAAAAAAAATTCTCGATCACCAACATGTCTCACTCACGTTGTAGCGATATAAATATGCTACATGTGCGTTATTCCGAGTCTTTACCTGCGGGCCCTAAACGAGGATGACGAACCAGTAGAAAGTGTAATTAAGGGGCTCAAAATTGAATTTCATCAGTCGAGAAGTGAAATTAATTTGAACCAGACCAGTGTAGAGGATAATTCGTAACATTGCATCATGCGTTCACAGTATAACAGATTTAGGTTTGAAATTTAGAAAGGCGAACAAAATTCATTACGGCACAACAAAATAGGATAATTTCACAGTGCGGACGAATCGAGAAGCAGAGATCGGAGCCCAGCTACTGATCCGTACGTCCAACTAAAATTGCGCTTACAAATAATAAATTTACAGATAATAAATGCTTATATTATATTTGGGTCCAACTACTATATACTACTCATCTTCATTCAAAATCGGAGAAGTGCGGCGCCTTTAAACTAGCAACGTGACCTCAAGTTGGCCCGGTACAACGTACGTAGATATACAATTAAATTTAAAGACCAGAGAATTAGTTTTATTTATTAGCTTCTTGTTAGTTTTTTCAATAAGTCGTACTAAATTCTTCATAGGTGTTGGTTTTTTTTTTTTGTTACTCTATGCGTCTTTAACGTGAAAATGAATGTTGTACATTCGAAACGTCGTTCAATATTAAAAATGTCTATCGGTAATTTGATTTTCAATCTTCCAACACCTATGAAGAATTTAGTACGACTTATTGAAAAAACTAACAAGAAGCTAATAAATAAAACTAATTCTCTGGTCTTTAACAAAACTTGCTTAAGAGAAGAAATTCTGCCAGCCTATACTAATTAAATTTAATTGTACTTGTACTCAAACTCAAAAATATATATACGAATCATATCTCAAGTTTCTCTCCATATATGTTACAATAGTGCGTCACCGGTCTGAAATCTCAATAATCTCCTTCATCTATAGTGCCGCACAAATAATTATTACTCATAACTCACAATTGTGATTGATGTGGAATTTTTCGATGATCGTGAAATGTACGGTCCTTGACGGTTAGATCTAATAAGTAAGTTACGCCAAGCTGGCTTACGGTCATCGTTTCAAAGAAGTCATTCAAAACGTTAGCCTGAGACTAACAAGTAAAAACCGTAAATCATCAAATCGCTTTCTCAGCCAATAAAATTACTATATATATCATGAGCACGCAGCCTGTAGTCGCCACGCCACTATCGTGTATAACTAATGACCATAGAGAATGTCATTACCTTAAACTATGGAAAAAATAATACGATGCTTGTAGATTCTTGGTTATGCAATCACAGGAAACCAAAGATGTGCCCAATATGCCAAGTTGTGAAAATAAATAACAGTGAGAACAAATGCACAGGAAACGAGCAAAATAGATCTATATGTAGCTGACAAGCAAGCCGACCCCGCTTCTTGTCACTCAAGCTCGTCGTGACCACAAAAAAAAAACATTTCGGCCGATATAGTGCCAGCGGACCAACGGTCATATTAAAACTACAGCGGGTCTGACAAAAAACTAAGCAGCGCGAGGAAGTCGTCAGTAAAAATATCCTGGCTGCTTATTCGGGTGAGAAGCTGTCGAGTAACAATAACAAATATATACATTACATTAACAGGCGTCACACAAAATATACATTAAAACCTAATAGTTTATAATTATTTACGAGTACAGTGAGTGCACTTGAAAGGTAAGAAAGAAGCTCAAATTATACCGATATTATTGTAGATTTTCGATCATTTTAATGAACATCATTTTACATGCAAGGAGAAATTTTTCACAATTTTTTTGAAATTTTAAAACTAAAACTTGTTCGACAAAATTCGAACATTTAAAATTGAGAAGCCTTTGAACATGCGTATCTTCACGCAGAGCACTAATTTATCAGCATTATAGAGAATCTCGAGTCTCGTGAAACAACTACAGGCCCTACGAGTAAAATAAATAACGAAACGTAAGTCGGAAAATATTAGAACACAATCGTGCACCAGGATTTGATCGAAGGCCAGACAATCGGATAACAAAAGCACGAAGCTTTAGTTTAGTGCAACTCGTCAATTTAGAAGAAGCATCAACTCAAACTCCTAGTTAAGTCCACAACGTTGTAATAGAAGATGAGGTACCAACTCCAACGTCTCAACAATGTCACATTTCTTTGAAAGAATTGCTCAGAGATTTACTTATAATTCGAGCTTTGTTATATTTCAGAGGTGAATCTATAACCCTTTCCTGCACTAATAGCTTCACGATTCAAGAATCACAACCGCGAAATAATTTCTTCACGTATCAAGCAGGGATAAAGGCAACGCTCTTTTGAGATGGATAAGCGTGCCTGCAAATAATAATAATTTGTAGTAAGGAACAGGATGCCTCTCTCCTACTTCAGGTAGGTATACCATTACGACTAAGAATACAAGTTTCGCCATGGCAGCAATGTG